CGAGTCCCCTGCCACCTCCACGTTGCTAACCCAGCCCCAGTCCTCACCCTACTTGACACGTCAGAAGCATCTGCCATAGTTGATCTCTCCTCCCTTCTGGAAACACCCTCCTGGTTATCCCTGTTTCACTGGCCACTCTTTTTCAGTCTCCTTTGCTGGTTTTTTGGTCTCTCCAATCTATTAATCTTGGCATGTCCAAGGGCTCGGTCCTTAGTACTTTTCTTCTCTCTATCTATACTTCTTCCCTTAGTGATTTCATCCAGTCTCAGCTTTAAATACTCTCTTACACACTGACAACTCCTAATTTTTATCTCCAGCCTGGATCTCTCCCCTGAACTCCAGACTCATGTCTCCGAATCGGTGATCCCCTTTGGATGTCTAATAGTCATCCTGAAATTAACAGTCCCAAAACAGAATGCCTGACCTTACCCCACCCCACCCCAATGGTCCCTCCTCAGTCTTCTCCATCTCAGTAGATGGCAACTTCAGTCTTTCCCTGTGCTCAAGCTACAAACCTTAGAGCTATAATTGACTCTTTCTTTCTCACTCTACATGTCCAAAACCTTTTGGCTCTACCTTGAAAATACATTCATATATGCTCTCCTTGTGCCCCAGGCCCATGCCACTGTCTCAGCCCACCTAGATTGCTGTAGTGGCCTATGACTTGGCCGTCCTGCTTCCTTCCTCGCTCCCTGCAGCTTATTGTCAACTTAGCAGGCAGAGTGATCTTTAAAATATGCATCAGATGATGTCACTTCTTAGCTCAAAAAGCTCTAACTAAACATAAACAGAGTAAATGCCACAGTCCTCAGAAAGCCTTAGGATACAGCGCTAGATGATAGAACCCCACTTTCCTTTTATTTTTCACTCTGCTCCATCTGACTCCTTCTGATCCAGTTTCACAGCCCTTGCTAGTCCATAAATATTCCAGGCATGTTCAAAGCTTCAGGGCCTTGCACTTGCTCTTCCCTCTGCCAGGAATGCTTTTCCTTCAGACAGCCATCTGGCTGCTACTTTCCTTCAAGTCTTTGCTGGACTGTGAGGCCTTTCCTGACCTCCCTATTTAGAATTGCTACCTCTATCCCCTTCAGTCACTATTTCTCTTCCCTGCTAACAAATGCTATCATTGATTTATTTCATTTGCTTTTTGCTCCCTTCCCCAGGCATCGAAGAGGCACTGTTTATTGGATAAGCAATACTCACTATGTTATACCTTGTATTCTAGTTTCATGTAGAGAGATGTTTCCCCCACTAGCCTTGAGCTGCTTAAGGGAGGGTGAGTTTCATATGGTTCCCCCATCCCCACCTGCAAAGTGTCTATGACAGAGTCGTACACGTCATAGGTGGTTGAGACATGATAACTGAATGACGGAAGCAAAGACCCATACCCACCTTAAGCATGGAGACAAGGACACAAGGTCCAAGGTCATCCAGGAGAGCCCTAATTGTTACAGGTAGGTGTAGCAGACACCATTGATGACAGCTCAATGTCCCCTAAGCCCACCTGAGCTAACCACACCTGAGAGCAGTTCCCAGCACACTGACACCTGCACCTACCCTGTTCTTCTCTTCCTGGTAGGAAGTATATTGAAGAGTTAACATCCCTGGGGATAACCATTGAACAATAGGGGCAGGAGTTGGTAGATAAAAGCCCCAGCCTCCCCAGCCTCTGGTCAATGTGGTCAGAGTATGACGGTGTCAGTAATGTTTAAGTACCAGTGGGGAAGTAGAGCATTTAAATATCTAAGAGGTCATAGCATGTACTACTATACCATGAACAGGGCTTTAGTTTGAAAATGCCATCTAAATCACTTATCTTCAGCATCCGACTGTGCCTGGCATTGAGGATGTGCTCAGATGCTTGGAAAATGAATAAACATGTGCCCTAAATGGTGGGACTGAGCAGTCTTCAGAGCTTTCTTAACAGTGGTGACTTGAGAATGATGTTCATAATTGCCCAGCTTGCCTACACACACACCCCTGGACTTCCCTAGGAAAGTCCTTTCTCTCTTATTGCCTATGTATCTGGGAAGTAGTACCTACTGACCTAGGCCCTTCGAGACCACCTAGTTAAATTGGGTCAATCACAGAGCTGAGGCAAGAACCTAAATGTCCATCCTCCAGTCGTCTAGTCCTCTTTCCACAGTAGTCACTGTGAAAATTCCAAGGAAGAAAGTAATTTTGGAGGCTAACAGCCATGAGTATTTTCAGATTCAATTTCAGCAAAGTGTTACCAATTAAGAAAGCCTGCCAAAAAGATAATGGAGACGAAAAAGCGCTCTGTAAACTGTAAAGTGCTATCCAAAGGTTAGCTATCTGAGGTTCACTGCCAAGGTCAACAAACCCAGGCTGGGTGTAGAGCCAGCTCTTAAATTGGAGTAGCTAACGAAAGGCTGTTCACTCAAGGGGCCCCTTTGGAATGGGACGCTAGTGTGCTTGCCGGGACCAAAAGGACACAGTTGCTTGCCTGTGCACCACCCCACCCCCTATTTTAAGTACAATACACTTACGCTGAATGGAATCAGTGCTTACATTATGTATTTGCATTCAAGCTGATGATCTTTTGCACTGTTCTCCTTTTGCTTGTATCTCAGAGGCCACGCATGGAGCTCCAGCCACCTGCACCGCTGGGCAATGGACTGTCTGTCCAAGATTTCTAACCGTCTGGGTACACGAACATTTTTTCTTCTACATTAGTTTACATTTGTCTCAGCTGCATTAGAATTTAGATTCTGCACATACTCTGGCTCTCAAAACCACATTCTTTTGCCCTCACACTACCTCTTTGTCATCTAACAACTGAATACGCATTGTTCCCCTGGCTGGGCTTGTGAAAGGGGACCCTGATGAAGAGTAAACTTCCATTTTCTCGGCTTCCTTATCCTAGCGCCCAACACTAGAAGGGCGGCAGTGTTTGGTGACCTCCCGCGTTAGGTTAACGATCTGGGCCTGGGCCCAGGCTGGATAATGAGCCGGTGAATAATGGGGAGCTGATTGTCAAAGGCTTATCACGGTGAAGCTGAGCAGAGACGGCCTTTCCCTGCACTGCCCTGCCACTTCTCCCCAAGCATCTTTTCTTAATCTGTCGAAGCTAATGGGGTTTCTGTGGCAGACATTCAGTCCTCACAAGCTCCGATTCAAGCGGCTGTGCACTGCTTCAGTCTCAGATGTTTCCACACTTACAAGGCTTGTAAAACAGTGAAAGACAGATAGTAGATAAAGTCACAGAAAGCCTTCTGTTCTAGGTTTGAAAAAAGGCCCTCCTTTATTTCTCTACTGTAATAGGAGTCTTGAAAAGCCCAAATTAAAGGTGCAGAAAAGGGTGACTTAAGAATACTAAAAGGCAAAATATTGCACACAACCCTGCAAACTTTATTTTCTTCCACACATTTCCCAAGTGATGTACACTCACGAGAAAGAGACAAATTTGGAGGAAAGGTTTTTACTGCTGCCTGGCCAGAAAAAAAAAACAAAAAACCAGAGGCAAAAACCTTTCTAAGTTTGTTTTTTTGAGGGACCAGCCATTAGTAAAATTATTACTTGTCAAGGACAAAACTTGTTGGAGAAAAATTAGTAAATGAATGGTCCGTTTAAGTTCTTACTGGTTTTCAAAGTATCCATCTAAGGGGCTGAGCTAGAATAATTCTAGGACGACAAAGTCCTAGCCTGGTTAGTAATCTTTTCACACAATCAAAGCCCAAACATGAGCTCTGCTTTAAAAAAATAATTAAAGAGTTGGTGACTAGGTGGGCTCAGGGGGATGAGGGATCTCAGCTCACCCTGGCCGGGAAGAGGGTCTCTCTACCTCCCACCCCTCTGGATATAATTTTAAGAGCAGCGCTATACTTCTATTTTCAGGTAAGAGGTTCCTAAACTACTCGCAACCCCAGGGTCCATGGGTAAGGCTAAATCTAAATTGTCAAGAGGGAGGGGCGGCTGGGGGGTGGAGAGGAAGCCAGGTGGCTTCTGCTTGCCTTACAATTAGACCACATGGGCAAGAAAGAGGCGGGTTTCAGGCACTTGGTAAACGAAAAGCAAATTTCTTTATTGTACACAGTACAGAATATAACGCAGCTTGGCAGGATGCAAACGGCCCTGCGCAGGGGAAAGTATTTCAAATAACTGGCAGGTTAAAGCCTTTCTGCACTGTAGACTTTCCACACTCTGGAAAAGAAGCAAACAAACAAACGAAACCCCAAAACCCCCGAGAAAAACAAACCATTCGGGAGGTGCATGAGTCCAATGGGAATGCAACGGTGATGCCGCCGTCCTATGTCCCGTGACAGCACAGGCCATGAAGTTACAGCAGGGAAGGGGTAGCTCAGGCTACAGAGGATTATTTTCATACTTGCTAAGATAGCATAAATCCATCCAAAAAAAAATCCCAAACCAGGGTAAGTAAAGAAAGGAAAAACAAATCTATACAGCATTTACAACAAATAAATCTCTAGCCAGCTGGGGGTAAAATATGCATCTATGTATAGACTATGTGTAGGTTAGAAAGCTATAAATATGGTTTAGAAGGAGTCCTTTGATTAGAGTAGAATGCTAATTTAAGGCCCAAGCTATAGGTTCACCATCTTTATGGGCTAATTAGCTTCCACCAGAGGAGAATCTTATGTTTCCATAGCTATAAAGTGTACCCCTTATCCCTGTGAACCTTTTCACAAACGTGCTGTTGGTCAAAGGGGGACAGTTTGAGACTATGGAGCGCCCCATTAATAGAAAAGCCATTCAAACCATGTGTCTTACATTCACGGAGTCATCACTGCCTCCCTTCACATACGAGGAACAGCACAGTCATTCCCGATGTGGTAAGCATCGTGGGGAGCGCAGATTTCTACCAACAGAGCAGGCAGCAAGGACTACCCCTTTCTAGTAGCCTTTCCTCTACTTTGAGCTCAACTTTCACACAGCTTTAGCTTGGTTGTTTAAAACTTTTCCAATATAATACAGCAATCAGAATAAACTTAAGAAAAAAGTGGCAGGAAACTAGAATGCTAGCACTGTTTTACCTGTCAGTGTCACACGTAAGTCTCAAACCCTACTGAATCACAGGTAGGGTTTAAAGTCCAAGATTTAAAGAAAAAGGAAAACAAAACAAACTGATGCAATGGAAATTGTCATCAGTCATGCCCAGGGAAGAATCCCCAGGGTTCTCATCAGGTGACCAGGTTTCCAATGGACATGACATGTGTTATGTACATATGCTTTCCAGAGAGGGCATGTTAGTGAACATGGGGAACTATACACAGAGAATCTAAGGTTGTGTCCAGGCTGCCCTGCACACTTCAAAAATTTACAACTCAGGTGCAAATGTTCCATCAGTTTGTCTGGTGCAGAAAGCACTAAGCAGGCAACAAAGCGGGCTTTTACACGGCTAAGGGGAAGCCCCCAGCAAAGCCCCTCTCAAGCTGCAGTGTCTTTGTAAGTCGGCACGGCCCTGGCTAAAGGACACAGTGCACAGTTACCAAAAGGTTTGTTTTTTGTTTTTTGCTTTAAATACCAAAACTACAAAAATCAGTTTATAAACTGTTTTTCCAAAACAACCACCAAAACAAAACGATCCCCCGAATCAAGGCAAAACAAAATACTGTCAAAAGTGTTAATCGCCCTTCTCCTAAAATGAAAGCCATCCACACTCAGCCATGTGATTAGGAAGAGAAAGGGTACTTGCTCTATTTGGTGATCACATGGCCGGAAGGTTCCCAAGGATAGCAATGGTTTATGATTTGAGAACCATGGAGTGGGTAACAGCTGTTCTGACTGCCCCCCTTTTCTCTAGACCAAGGGGAGACATTTCAGATTGAGCTGGAAGAGCTCTCCAAATTTCTAGATATATTTTTAACCCTTAATGGTTTGAGCCTCCCCAGCTTAGCCTACCTACTTTTCTATGGGTTTGTGACTTCTTTTTCAATAAATTGTGCAAATCAGAGCCCTTCTGTGTAAAGGCATTTAGTAGTCCGTGATCAATGCAGATTGTCACACACTCTGTCCCATTTTGTGGGTACTAATCTGAACAAGGTATTGCTTTGCATATATTGTCCACGGTAAGGAGGCTCCATTTTGATCTCTTCCCAGAAACCTCATCAGAGTCAGAGTTGAGGCACCAGCCTTTTGGTGGTTTTCTGCCCCTCCCTGTTCCCACTCCCCAGCCAATGTGTCTGTCTTTAAGGGTGCCAATCCAGAGACGGCTTAGGTTCTCCAGATAATACTCGAAGGGCAAGCGTTAGGAACAGCCAAAAACACAAACAAAACCACTGCCCTCATTTGCCTGAATGGGAACTGCTAGCTCTAGGGTTTGGCCACTCAGCCACTCAGAAACTTAGTAAGCGAAGCCTTCAGCATAGGGGAGGCTGCTGCAGCGATCCATGTCCAGGAGGTAAGCAGGGTTGTCCTCGAAGTGGGTCAGGGGCAGGGTGTCCTCCTCGTTGAGGTGGCACTCAGACTCCGCCTTCAGGAACGGACGCTGATTGTCCGGGAAAGCCATGGAGAAAAGGGCATCTGGGTCACAGACAAATTTGTAGACGTATCGTTCCCCAGCCACCTGGGAGAGAAAACACAGCTTATAGGGCCCAGCTGGAACAGCGCACCGGGCTCAAGGGAGTCGAATGAGGCATTTCTTAGTTACCAAGCTCTCAGGGAGCCAGGGACCAGAGGAGGCTTGTTGGGAGCTGATTACCCGAATCGCTCAGGTTTAGTCTGAGAAATCCTGGGCACCTATTACCTGCCAAGTGTTTTATTGACACCACAGCTTAGCAATTGAAAAAGAAGATATTTAAATTTCAAATTCACACTAGATAGGCTCTTTTAAAAGAAAATCCTCACTTTCTGTCTTACAGCGACAGCTTAGGGAGCACAATTATGCTGAGGCTGGTGCTTGGTGTTCCAAGGAGGTATAAGGATTGAGATGTACAATCCAGAAGCCAGACTACGTTTTCAGTTGCCTCCAAAGTTTACAGTCTTCACAGTATGGCATTGTTATTTTGAAGGGTTAGGGATTTGATTAGCGAGCCTGTGTGGAAATTTTAAGTGTGCTCCAAAGCCAAAGAGAATTGTTTTTTGGCTTACCTGCAGTTTTAAATCACTCACTGCATCGTGCAGCCACAATGAAGGAACTGATGACTACCTTTACATGGACTTTGTGCATTATAATCTTAAAACCCAAAAGTCCTGATTATTCAAGCACCTCATGGTGTAGCTGGGGAGCCATCTGGGTCAACAGAATCACCCTGTCTCTGCTGGTTGTTTAGCAACAGTACAAGAGGGCACATAACACCAACAATCAAACCATTGGCTTTTGTCAAGAAACACAGAGGGGCAAGGGAAAGGAGCTAAAATTACTGATAAACATTTAAGACTAAAAAGCTTGAATTGTTGAGTTTAATCCTGCCCTTCGGTCATTCTGCTGTGATTCTAAAATCTCTTTTTAACTGAAAAAGTATTGCTTTGCTTCCAAATCTTGGGTTTAAGAAGTCTGTTGCTCCAGAGGCTGGTTGTCGAGGTACAGTACAATTATCCCAATAGGTCTTAAGGTTTATTTTACAGCGACACTTCTGTGTTCAGTCACCAGGACCTGGGTGTCTGCACCAACATTCCCTGGAGCTCAGACATTAGGAATCAGGGACCGTGTGTATGAAACTGGACAAGTAGTGTCTTCACGAAAGCCAGTCTTAAGGGTGGCAGAAATATATACAATCGGCCACCCCTATCTTGTTTTTTAAGCCACAGTTTCACGTTTGATCCCAACCCCAAACGTTAGTTTGTGTTAGAGGGTGAGGCAGGAGGGCATAGTGGAAATAATACGAGATCAGAAGCCGGGAGCATGTGGCTTCCAGTCCTGGTGTAGTCACTGATGAGTCTTAACCTTTGTGAACTTCAATTTTTCCTTCAAAAATTGAGGGTATGGGACTTCAGTTTTTCTAAGTCTCTCCACACACTGATAGGCTATCTTTCACCTTTTATTTAGGTCTCATTTACTCATGGGTCATATAATAAATAAAATAATAATCCCCTACAATGGATAGCACATTATTATTTCTGGAACAGTTTTAAATATATTATGTTATAAGACTAGAACAAGGATTGTTATCTACATTTTTATTAGAAATACAGGCTTTGGGAGGTTGAATGACTCTCTTCAAAGCATACGGCTAACAAAAGGAAGTGTTAGGATTTGGACCCACCCAAGCCTCATTCCTGGGCCTTCCTGTAACTCTTTGCCTATTTTATTCCCAGAAATAAAGTTGTCTTCTACTTCCTTAGAAACCCTAGGAGCTGGTCTGGTCACAGGGACACTTCATTTCCATTAGTTCAAGTTACTATGTCTTGGTTACACTCCATCGTGTTGGATCTGGAGTTGGGAATGGCAAAGGAATAATGGCTCTCCCTCTTGAACTTAGGACTCAATCCAATGGTATTGACACTAAAAAGGGGGAATAAGAGAGATTGGGGAAAAATGGGGGGTATTGCTAATGGATATGGAATTTCTTTTGTGGTGATAAAATGTTCTAAAATTGATTGTGGTGACAGTTGCACAACTCTGTGAATATACTAAAAACCATTGAATTGTATGCTTTAAAAAAAAAGCTGAGGAGGTAGGGTAGGGTGGCTACCCATCCTAGACCATTTAACTCTGTGCCAAGCACTGAAGTCAAACCTCGATTCCTGCCCCAAAGGAGCTTACACTCTAGTGGGAGATACTGACAAGTAAAGGAGTAATTTATAGCACAGATATAAAAGCAGTGATAGAGGTAAGTACAGGTGCTGTTAGAAGCAGAAAAGGGTACTGCCTAACCCAATCTGAAGTGAAAAGGGGACTAGTAAGGAAGAAAACAAGCAGAAGCTGGCCAGGTAATGAAGGTATTAGGAATGTTTTAGTTCTTAAGTAGGATGATAATTAAACAGGTGTTTTCCCATTATAGAGTAAGCCTGATAACTTACATGAGTGTGACATGTATTCTTTGGTAAACAAATACTACATTAATTAAGAGAAAAGGTGGCTCTGCTAGTGAGCAGTCCAGTAAGAGTGAGGAAATTGGAGGTACATGGTAACCAGACTGGGAAGAGCCTTAGAATCTGTATGAAGCACTGAAAAGTCTACATTTTATTCAGAAGATCATAAAAAGCTGTTGAATATTTTTTTTAAGGTGGTGAAGGGAACATGGGGTCACATTACCACCTGCCCATGAGAAAGATGAATTTAGTTTCTTTATAGACAAGTTCTCAGCAGTTATGCCCATATGCTTCTGCCAAGTTCATCTTGTTGGCTGCTACCGTGTTGACTGCCTAAATATGTAAAGGCTGGGATCTAGGGAACAGTACAGTATAAAATTTGGTGACAAAGAAAGACCAACAAATGATTTGCCATTCTCACCTTCTACTTATCCACAGGATGTTAAGATTGTGACCCTTCACTACCTATATCCCAATAAGGATTTTGTACTGGTTTCCTCAAAATATGCTTCATCCTCTCTTCTACAAAGAACAACCTGCTACCAGGTAACTCTGCTGCCATTTTATAAATCTTGGGTTTTTAACTTGAGTTCCAGTTTTTCCAGGTTGTGAAAGAGAAATACAATTTTCTTATTCCTCTAACTAACACTATTGAGCACATCAAACCAACGGATTGGAGGTCTAGGTGTTTTAACAACTAGAGACTTCAACCAAGCTCTTGAGGGGGTAGATATGCAAGACTGGATTCCCTCTTATGCTCCTTTATGGATACAATAGTTGGCCTAAGTTTCTGGACATTTACGTAATTGGAGGCAGTTTTAGTAAAGCAGAGGAACCCAATTTTCCTATTGTGTGTTCCGCACACAACTTCTGGTTTCTACATACCCAACAGCACTAAAGGGACTTTGTGTTCTATCTCATTTGATTCATCTCAAGTTTGTTTTTTCAGGATTTTTTTTCCTACCGTTTTTTCCCAGCTGTTACAAATGGTCTTACTACAGAAGCCCCGGACACTGCCTTTGAAAGCAGTTAGGATGGTTTCATTGTCTCCTACAATTGCTCACCTTCTGCATGATGCCCTTTTCGTAGTAATAGCGCAGAGAACGGCTCAGCTTGTCGTAGTTCATGGCTGGCCGGTTCTTCTGGATGCCCCAACGCCGGGCAACCTGAACAGACAGGAAAGCAAAGAGCAATGGAAACACATTTCTTAGGCCTAGTGGTTCTCTCCCAATCCCAGGACAGCCAGTTCTGTAACCTGACTACTTTGGTTAATGATCCATTTCTCTGACCCGGAAGAGAGAGCATTTAATTCCCTCAAGGCCAAACATTCAACAAAGGTGATGATTCAGTCACAACTGCTACAAGGTGAGACCTAAGGTGGAAGAATCCTAGCACTTTAAGACTGCAGAGGACTTGGCTGATGTCCCAGAGGATGCAGGCTCTCTACTGTTTCTCCACGTATGAATTATTGACCAATACCCATAGACCATTAACATGTTGCCATTAAGTGCTATGGTTTCTGTAGCAGTCAATAAGGAATAATTAGAATGGTCATTCCTGAAACATTAGAAACACACTAGTGAGTTGTTAATGGGCCAGCAGAGCAAAAGTTCAATTCTAATAAGATTGGAGAGGGGCTGGGAGATGTTTGCTTATTGCAGTTCATGGACTAACGGGGAATCAGATCATTTCAGCCTGCTGCCATCCAATCCTCTGCTCCCAGCAGACTTGCAGAATGGACATTAAAGCACGTAGCACCATTATCCACTTAATGAAAAATTAACAGGGCTTTCCAAACAGTTCTGAAGTGCATTATGTCCAACCCAGTCCACCTGAGGTGCAGTGATGGGGCAATGTAATTAGAGCTTCAAGCAAAGAAGCCTCATAGCAGGAAAACTTCCTAGTAGAGTTTCCAAATTATCAGGGTGGCCAAGCAATTTCTGTTCTCAAGTAGCTCCACTTCCAAAATCTAACTTATGACGATGAGTGTCAAGGTAGAAGAAGAATAACTCCAGAAATGTGAGTTTTCTCAGAGACCTTTAAATGTATACAAACCAAGGGGTCATGTTTTGAACGTTTTAGGTTATTCGTGGAAACTTGAAAAAAAAAACTACATTCCTTTGATTTTCTGAAAACTAAATGTTAAACATGGACTAGGAAGAAGGGAGAAAACACTATTTCACATAAAGTCTTTCCTTAAAGTATCTGGGCAGAATGAAAGCAACATCTCCTAAATTCAGGATTCTAAAATGACCTTTAATAAATTCTAGGAATGATCTGATAAGGAAGAATACATCTGTCTTAATTACATTAGAATAATTTAATAGCCATGATTCTACTCTGCCTTGCAAGAAACCCTGTGAAATTTAAATTTCCATTTGATTGCTTCATGCCCCTGTGGCATACCCGATGTCCTGGTCTCCTCTTTTCTCCACATTGCACCTACTCAACTCTATCTCTGAAACAGCCAAAAAGGCAAAATTAACCAAAACTTAAAGTCTGGTTAGAGAAGATAAATATTTTAAACCAATGGAAATAGTAGTAAGAAGGAAAATCTGCAAAACCAATATATGTCCTTCTAACCTGCTCAAAAGAAATGGCACTTTATGAAACTAATCTTTAACTGCTGTCTGCTACAAGTGACACAGGGAAATTTTAAAAGAAGCTCAGCCTCATCATTTTACTATGTTCAGTGGTGGAAAGCAATCCTTGGCTATTTTTCAACTTCAGCGGCGACCTCTCTGCTGTCACTTGTATATGCAATTGCTTACTGGAGAGAGTTTGATATATGCATAGATTTCAAAGCAGCTCTGGTAGCCATAGTTACTGACTCATCCTCTCCGGCCAGAACCCTGATTCTGCAGCCCTCACCACGGCTGCTCTACAGTAATGCGTGATGCGGCTCAGCTCCAGAGCAGCTGGGAATTAAGGCTGCCCCTCTTCTGGGGTTGGGGGAGCAGGCAATAGCTTGTTAGCAGTTCGTTCTTTCTTTCATCTCACCCATTAGTTACTTTGGTAGCACACATCTTGAGGGCTGAGGCTAAGGAGTTAATGAATCCACCTATCTCCTCCACCCCTTTAAAGAGAGAGCAGCCACAGCACAGGGAGTGGCTCTTTCTAGCAGCCCATCCCTTAAAACCTCCAGGCATCAGTTATCTGCCACATGTTCAACAAACAACCCTACCCCCCAAAATATTCATTAATGCAGATTCACAGTTAAAATGGCTCCAGATTAAAGCCGAGTCAGACATAATTGAGAGGGTGCTAAGCTGGATGACTATCAAAAGACATTTGATTAGGGGGCCTGCCAAAGCACAGTTCTAAAACCACAATTTCCATGCACAGTGTAATGGGTATTATGGATAATTACCCAGAGTGCACTACTCAGCCACACAGCTGCCTACAATTACGTCCCCAGCAGCTTCCTCCTCCACTTCACCCTTCAAGCTCCCCCATGACGACTTCTTCCAGCTTTTTCCAGGAGTTGGTATCTTCCTGACATTAACAAGAGCAAGGCTCTCATAGTTATAGGAGTAGAGGGGAAAGGCTCAACAAATGCTGCCTGCCCTGAGGCTGAAGTGCATAGGTGGAACCCAGCTGGTCCTGGGGGAAGAGAATGGGACACTTGGAGCGTGTGGAATGGTGGGGACTTCGAGGTCGGGTGGAAAGAAGCCCTTCCTGAAGAAACAGAGCTGCCCAGTCAACCGAGGGAGACTCAAGGCTGCCACAGGTCTCTCACATGACCTGGCTGCTTGGCATTTATGAGCATTCTGGATTAATATTAGTTTCTTTATTAAGTAAGAAAGCAGGGGCCCCTCTGCCATCTGTTCATCATTTTCTTTACCACTGGTAGGAGTGCAGAAGATTCAATAATAGCTTTACAAAGGGTCATAACCAGGTTTACCTGCAGCTGGACAGCCTGTGCTTAGGCCCGAGGCAGTGGCAATAAAGTAATAAAAGCTCCTGTTTGTGAAATGAGATAAATCAGTAAGGGCTGTCCACATGACAGACCTATTTTCAAAGAGCCTTGGTGAGTCTAGGCTACATGCTTTCCTCACACTTCACATAATCCAGGCCACGATACGAGGAAAGCAGCGAGGAAAAGAACGGGCCTATGTGGGTGCATAGCTCTCCAGGGGCTGGAAGCCGAAAACGTGGCTCCATTTCTACGTCACTTAGCCAGAAAGAAAGCCTTCGAAAAACACAGCGGCACTAAACTCTGGCTTTGAAGGTAGACTGAGCCTAAGAGAAGCTGTGTACGGTCTAGATGTTGACAAATTTCCATCTCTGTGAAGGAATACAAGACAGGGAACATATATGCATATCTTCTTTTATAACTGCCTTTAATGGAGCCTGCCTTGTTCTCCTACCAATCAGGATTCTTCCTAAGTTTCCAATCCATACATTCTCTTCCTTTTCCCATTTTAACTGTCAGACCATTTCCTTCTTCCAAACCGAGTGCCAGGTTATTACCTCCTGCTGTTAACCTCCATGCCAACGTATTCCCTTGGTGTGCTAACGCGAGCCCTGCAGTTAACTGAAGAACATCTAAAACTGCAGTTGTTGCTCAAATGCCTTCCAAGAGTGTTGTTTCCATTTTAATTATACCCAACCCAAAAAGATACCTTTTGCTCTGCTGTTTTAGTGCATATGCCTAAGTACACGCTACCAAAAGAAGCGTATGTCAGTTTTTTGGGGAAGTTATTTGTTGTCCATTTATAATCTCTCTAGATTCTAAATCAAACAGAAATTAAAAATCAGCCCCTTTAGAATATGTTACACTGAGAGCCTGATTTAATTTACTTTGTTAAGTGATATTCAGGAAAGGGATTCTATGGTGTGTCTTTTCCACTGAAGAAATGATACTCGTTCTGTCCATAGGCCTTTCTGTCAATAAGTCTGAGCAGAAAAACAGTAACAATGTTTTTTACCTACTAACAAAATAATGGAGGTTGGTATCATCTCTCAAATACATTATTGTGATGCCACATAACACACTAAAAAAAAAATCCAAGCTCCTAAGATTGATCCATCTCTGATATTTTATTTCTCCAGGTTAGAGCCATTTGAAATACACAGTGGGGTAGCTGCATCCTGTAATATATTACTAAAATGACATACAATATGTTCATGTAGCCCAGACATAGGCTGTGACACGCAAGGGCTGAGACCAAAATGAGTCTGTATCATTGAAACAACACTTCAAAAAGACTTTTCAAGAGGGAGAGCATATCCTGTTTGAATATAAGTTCTCATGGCCTCATTCCCCAGGTTTTGTAGGAGTGTTAAAAACATTTTTTATGTATGCTACAGTGGAGTACTCTGCCTGTCCATGGATTGTAAACTGTTCTATTAATAGCAAGGGCACTGCAAAGCCCACCGGCCAGGCCAGAATGTGAATGAGAAGAAGGAGCAGAATTAACACAATAAAAAGCCTCAGTGGAAATCTAAACAAACATCATCATAAATGACAAATCAAAAATCATCTGAGTCTAGCATCCAGTGCTTACCTCCTCTGGTTCTATCAGCTTGAACTCCATGCCTCGGCCTGTCCAGGCGATGAAGTGGGCATTGGCAGGGTCGTCAAGAAGGGTGACCAGGAACTGCCACAGCTGAAGTGAACCTCGCCTCTGGTAAGGGGGCCCCTCCCGATACATGGTGGGCTCCTGTTTGACTTTGCCTGTTTGGGACAAAGACACGTATGCAATACTTTATCCCTAAATTTCTTAGTTTGGTGAAAAAGAAGTTGTTAATGCTGATTTAATCAATTAGCATGGTAAGACTGACTGGGGTGTTCTGGCATCTCCAACCCCCTAGCTTAGCAACAGACCTTGGATGGGGCTACTTACCTTCTAGTCTCTCAGGCACAACACAAGTGTCATCGAAGTACAACCGGGGATCTTTTTCATATGAAAAACCTGAAAGAGAATTTAAAAAGAGACTACGTTGCTTAACCAATTCTATCTGTGTTGTACTAAATCTGTGGATTTAAGGACTAAAATGGGATTCTATCATATCAGGTCCTGAGCCCGACTGCTGTCTGTGGGCCACACTGAATTTTCAGAGGCTTCCCAAGACTCAGGGGTTTGAGTTCTGATGTAATCACCCAAGCCTCAGTCAGAGCAGCATCAATTCCAGCTATTCGCACTAAGACTGCGAGGAAGCGCTGAGTCACCAGTAAGTTCCTTCACATCTTGCTCGTGAGGTCTGCATGGATCAGTGTTGCCGTGACTAAGCCTTTACATCTGAAAAGACATCTTGTCTATTTCGGTTGCCTAGCTGGATTTGGTTGATCTGCACACAGCCCTGCCATTTTCCTTTTTGCTAATATTAATTTCAACCTTTCCTACAAACTTGTCCGGGCCACCCACATACCTCGTTCAATTATAAGAGAGCTCGGAGGGTAAAGAATGTTGACAAAATGAACAAAAACTTGGGCCTGTAGAGGATTTTGAAGAGAAGAGAAAAGCAAGTTGGAGGTATTATTACCAGACACGGTGGATAGACTCTGAAGAGACTTTCTAGCAATAGAACTTACTCATTATATGGAGGACAAAAAAGGGGAACTGAGTGGCCCAATGACACATGCCAAGGAAATGAAAGGAAGGTAAGGCAACAAGCTGAAGGGGTCAAGGAGATGGAAGGATGGCCTGACATTCTCCATCCACAAACCCTCAAGGATGGCTTCAGTGCTGACCACCATGTCACCAGGCACCCTGACAAGATCAGTGGTTCAAATCAGAGCCAGTTAACAGATGGCCTATGGGGACCACATCCTGCAATGTAGCCTGTGCCCGAAGCGTAAGGACTCCAGTGTCCTTACCAGCACACTCCTCGGGAGAAGCCCCAGGAGCTCCTGTCTGATCAGTGATGGCCATGGCTCCCTGTGTTGTTCTCAGGCTGCTTCACCTGGCTGTTCTGTACAGGTGTACGTGAGCTGGACACGCAGTAGGGGCAGGCAGTGGAAAGCGCTCTGCAGTGAAGGGCTTTCAGCAGGGTTGGAGAGGGATTCACTGTGACTTGAAAAATCCATGAGTAAAGGCGCCAAGACATAAACTTGCTATTCTTTGTTTCTTTAGTCAGCCCAGATCAAGTAGCTTCTTGGCAGGACCAGCACCATTTTTAGAGGCCTTGGCCTGGAGAGACTGCCCAACTGAGACTGTTTTGAGGTTTGTATTATTCATTTTTGTTTTCTCTGCCATAAGCATGATTTCTCTGTTGCTTAACTACATCAAGGGAAGTATATTTTATTGGCATTTATTTATTATTTAATCCACTAAATATTTATGCCAGACATTGTGCCAGAAGGGAGTAGGTAGCAAGGAGAAGAACATAGACTCAGTCCTTGTTCTCATGGAGCTTACATCCCAACTGGGGGAGACAGACATAAAGGAGAAAAAGACACAAACATGGTGTAGTGTGGAAGTTAAAGAAGGCAGGCCCTGGAGCCGGACTGATGGACCCCAATTAGCCGTGTGATCTTGGATAAATTAATCTCTTTGTGCTCCAGTGTCTTCACTGCAAGACTGGGGAAGATAATTCCTTATGGGGTTGTTATGAGAATTTAATCAGTTTATATATATATATTCTGTTTCATTGATCTATTTCTTTATACCAGAGTGCTAAGAATAGCTCGTGGTACATAAGTGTGTAATAAATGATAATTTAAAAAAATTAATAGCACATTGTGATAAGTACTCTTAAGAAATTAATTGGATAATGTGAGAGCTTTATCTTATATCCATCAAGGATTCTAAATTCTTTGAGGATAAGGACCATATCCTGGTTATCTTCATGTCCTCACTGCACCTTACACGTAATAAGTGCTAAATAAGTATCTGAACAAATGAGAGATTCTGTAGTCCATAAAAAAAGATTTTAAGAATATAATGCTAATTTTTAAGTCAGGGATTCAATGACTCCTGATAAATTTATTTTCCAATTTGGTAGCAGGAAACCTTTTGACTTTTATGACAAATTGGTATACTTTATATTATAAACAAGAGTTTCATAATCCATTATGCTTCATGCTTTTTGCCTTGGCTGCCAGAAAGCTATATATATATTTCCCAACCTTCCATATGTATTTTGATATTCCAGTAAAGTTTTAAGGTCTTATTATAAAGTCATTATAAGTGAACTATTTCAAAGTTTACACACCTGTCAAACTTGCCATGTTATTTTTAGAGCTTTTCTTCCTCTAAGGTAAGGATAATATATCCACAGTATAGAGGGAAAAAACCCATAAATCTAGATTAAAGTCTTGGTTTGGTTTTCAAAACTAATCAGATGAAGCCCTGCCTATAAGAAGTATCATTTTAGTGTATTTCGTGGTTTCTAGTCATTGCCTCATACGGTCTGCTAAAACATCTGTTAGATGCTATTGGTTTAAGTGAAGTTTAAGTCAGTTAAATTTGCACCAACAGTTGTGGCCACAACCATCTAATCACTCAAAGGTGGCAGGAAGGAAGAACCTGTTCAAGGGGCAAAGTGGAAATGAAAGATTCAAAACATTAGTAAAGGATTCCAGGTGAACGCTTAAGGCAGGATGGCTATCTTAGCAATCACAGATGCCAATCAGAAACACTTGTTTCTCTAACTGTTTCACAGGCATCTGTGGTCAAGCCTGTAAAATGACTGAAGAACTGTGTCAGGGTAATTTAGAACAATTAAAAATCCTGGTCTCTTTGAAACTAACTTCTTTGGTGTGTGTGGAGTCAGAGAAAGGAATGGGAAAGAGTGGAGAGAAACACACACACAAACTCACCAGATAGTCTGTGTGTAGTGTGTAGTAAGCAACCCAATGCCTTACTAAAAATATTTCCTTTAAGAGCATGCTCTTTCCTAAATGTTGTAATTATGTAAAATGTTTTCCTCCCTCTCTTCCCCTACTCCCTCCTAGTTTGCCTGCTGCAGACATCAATCGCTGCTGTAGAAACATTTAGGAACCTGGAAGAGAGCCCCACACAGCTGTGCCCACCACAGCCAGTGGTCCAGTAGACACCCCCTCCTTTCCAGCGCTGGACACTCACTCGGAATCTCACAGGGTGCCCAGAGAAACAACACTTGGTCTCTCATCTAAGCAAGTCATTGGGAAGCAGCTACTACATACCTCTCTTGTGAACTAATCACTTCTGAAAACCAGCCAATGTTTCATGGATACCAGCTCTTTTGACTTTCATCTATAATGCTAGAGACCAGTGGTTCTCAACCTTGAATGAATACTGGAATCACCTGGGAAGCTTTAAAAACGACTAAAGCCTGGGTCCCACCCCAAAATTTCTGATTTAATTGCTCAGGATGAAGCCTGGGCATCAAAAGTTTCAAAAGCTCTCTAGCTGATTCTAATGTATGGCCAAAGTTGAGAATCACTACTCTGTAGTTCTCAAACTTGAAGGTGCATCAGAATCTCCTGCAAGGCTTGTTAAAACACAGATTGCTGGGCCCCACCCATGGGGTTTCTGATTCAGTAGGTCTGGGGTGGGTCCTGAGAATGTGCATTTCTATCAAGTCTCAGGTGAAGCTGATGCCACAGGTTTGAGGAACCACACTACTCTAGATATTTATGGAGAGATGTATTTGACAGAAAACAAGGCATACTTCTGGTGAACCTGTTCTAAGACAAGAATCTTCCCTATTTCAACGTTCAGAAGGGAAGTTCTGAACCTACCATCTCAAGTAATGCCTGTGCCCAGAAGGGTAACTTTAAGCTCTGAGCCTACCTCTCAAGGCTTTTCATGCCCCACAAACTCCATCTTAGTTTTCTGTCAAAAGAGTCCATTGATTTGCTATTGTCATCCATTCATGCAGGAGCTATTCAACAAATACTTCTAGCAGCTTTGAAAGCTTAATTATTCTCCCCCACAAAAGGCTCCTTCTTCCTTTTGTTTTTTTTTTGAGACAGAGTCTTTCTCTGTTGCCCAGGCTAGAGTGCCGTGGCATCAGCCTAGCTCACAGCAACCTCAAACTCCTGGGTTCAAGTGATCCTTCTGCCTCAGCCTCCCAAGACTACAGGCATGCGCCACCATGCCCAGCTAATTTATATATATATATTTTTAGTTGTCCAGATCATTTCTTTCTATTTTTTAGTAGAGACGGGGGTCTCGCTCTTGCTCAGGCTGGTCTCGAACTCCTGACCTTGAGCGATCCACCCACCTCGGCCTCCCAGAGTGCTAGGTAGGATTACAGGTGTGAGCCACCGTGCCCGGCCTCCTTCTTCCTTTTGATTCACATCTAATTACTTCTTTAAAGAAATCCTAAATTTTAAAAATCTGTGACAATGCACTCAAAACAAACAATTACAAAACACAGGTCCTCACAAAAACTGGTAGCAGATGCCTTAAAAATGTCATACCCCTTTTACCCAGAAATTTTGGGAATTTAGCTTTGAGAATCAATCAAGAGAATGTGAAAAGATTTAGCTAGATGAATGTTCATCTGGGTTTGGTTTATTTGTGAATATTCTGGAAATAACTAAGTTTTCAGCAACAGGTGATCAGCTAAATGCATACCCATGCAGTGAGTACTGTGAAGCCATTTAAGAGGAAATCATAGAGGAATGTTTGCTGCTACAGAGATTACCTTGGCTACAGAGTGTGGAAAGAGATGAAGGTAGGGGCTCTGGAGTACACAGGGCTTGGCTCAGAATTCTGGCTCTACCCTCACAGCCATGTGTCTTGGGCAAACCTTGTAATCGCTCTCAGTCTGTTTCCTCATTGTATTATGGGGCCCATAGAAATATCTATCCTACAGGACTGCTATAAGGAATAAACAGATTAGTGCATGTAAAGAACTCAGAACAGCGTTTGAAACATAGTAAGTGTTCAATATGAATTAATGACTATTGTTAAAAGAAAACAAAGACTATAAAACAATGAGTTCTGTATGATCTGTATAATTTTTTTTTTTTGAGATGGAGTCTCGCTCTGTCACCTGGACTAAAGTGCCATGGCGGCAGCCTAGCTCACTACAACCTCAAACTCCTGGGCTCAAGGAATTCTCCTGCCTTAGCCTCCTGAGTAGCTGTGATTATAGGCACACACCATGACACCTGGCTGATTTTCCTATTTTTAGTAGAGACAGGGTCTCACTCTTGCTCAGACTGGTCTCAAACTCCTGAACTCAAGCGATCCTCCCGCCTCGGCTTCCCAGAGTGCTAGGTTTACAGGCGTGAGCCGCCACACCTAGCCAATTTTTTTTTTTTTTTTAAGGCAAGCACAGGTGAAGTTTATTGAATAAAGTAGGATACATTTGGCCACAGAACGGACCCTCTGTCGTAACAGGAGGGCTTGTATAATTCTCTATTTATGTATGCACAGAAAAGACTGGAAGACTATATAGCAAGTTTAATGATTATCCTTGGACAGTGAGATCTAATTTTTATCTTTTTGCCTGTCTATATTTTCTAAATTTTGTGTAAACAATATTTATTGCTTATGCTAAGAATAAACTACAAAAGTTTATATTTTAAACAAAACTAGCTCAAAAGCAAGCTCCTCCAGGAAACTGAGATTCTAGCTCCATTCTGACCACTTCTTTGAAGTCATATGCTGTATAACACTTATGCATCTTATTTGTTCTAAATTACTTTCACTCTAATTAGTAGGTCAGTGCTAAGGAAGGCAAAATCACAGGCTCAACCCTGCCCACTCTCCTGCTCCTAATTATAGTGAGATTATCTCAGAGATTTATTCAATTAGTTGGTCCCAAAGGGATTGAGCACAGCACTTGAACAGACAGCACACCCTTGACATAGAACCATCACCTTCGCATACTAATAAATGTCAAGACGTGATAATCCAGGATTGTGGGTAAATTGCTTTATATCTGTACTCATGTTTCTCCTTTGAGGTATTTTTATTTATCCAATTAGAAAACATTTCTTTGTGTCCTTCTATAATGCATTTTGTACATAATATACCTTGATAGAATCTCATCAACCACTTCATCTCCATCCCCCATACTCCCACCTCCCTGCCAACCCTCTCAAGGTTCCCTCCCATTGGTTAAAATGGGATGGGTTGTGATAAATGCAACCATTTATCACATAATCAAAATTACAATGAAGAGTTACCCACCTTAGCACCCAAACTAAGTAAAACCTAGAAACACATTTTAAAACTCCCAAGACATCCTTGGACCCATATAAAGGCACCCTGAGTGATATAATTCCTAAATTATAGTTTAGGCCGATGGTATTATATAAGTATATAACCTCCATATCTGGAAATGTAGAAACCAGGTGGGTTCATTTTTTTCATCACATTGTCCTATAAACTCTTTTTTTTATTTCCCACTCCTCCCTCCCTCCATAAACTCTTAAAAGTTGGGGTTATTACTATTGAAAATGATGACAGCCCTCACAATGCTTAGGAGCATGCCTCAAACCCTGTGTGCAAAATAACAGAAAATTATTATGAATTAGCTCTCATGTTCATGAGCTAAGGGAGGTTTAATCTATGATTTCAAACCTTAGCCTAGAAACTGAGCAATTTTAAACTTGAGCATTACTTAAAAAACAAACAAAAAAGCTCTTTACCTTCATGGCTGCTGGAGAAATAACCCCCTCTCATGTAGGATGACTGGCAGTTAGGCACTTCTAAAAGGGAAGCACAGGGGGACACAGTCCCGTCAATAGTTTCTGCAGCGGAAGCAGCACATCAATCAACTGCAGCTCTGTAAAAGCCCCTAAACCTTCTCCTGCTCCAAGGTTATGTCTTTTTGGCCTTGTCCAGGGAAAGAGGCACCAATAAGCAACATGGGAAACACTATAACCCATCATCTGAAAGGAAGACACTCCTAATCAAGAGTTATGGGAGGGAAAAAATGATGCCTCACTCTCATAATTCACTCATTTTAGAAATTAGTTAGTATCAAATCTGATGAGTGAGCTAATGGTAGGAAAAAAAGGCTTTCAAAAGGCCAAGCTTGGCCTCCTGCCTATACCGACTCGTGGGTTTTAAGGTGGGGAGGAGGAAGAGTATTATTGCTTTAGATCTTTTCCAATTTGCTCCCCTTTACTGCTGGTGGTCACATAAAGTTCTCCTTCAAGTGGTGAGAGTATTTTTAGGCCAAAGGGATTAAGGGATCTGAAGTTATGAAGCCCAGACCAGAACTGGCAGGGGTGGGGGACTGTGGTTTGGCAAAGTACATTTTTTGCCACGTTGGGACTGTTACACTGAAACCAAAACACACTCAAGTGATCACTTGTCTTTAGGCATCACGTTATCAAGGTGTCCATCAAGAGGAAAGACAATGAATTGAGTTGTGCCCACGTGGGATGAGTCTTTACCTTGGGAACACCACTCAGATCAAAGAATTACCAATATGGTAATATATGTTGAGTATCTTGCTTTAAGGGAGTGAGGTGGGGTGAAAAACCGATTAGGACAGATTGAAATGTCAATCCCAAAGAAAAAAATGTTGCTGGGCATGCCTACTCCTGAGAAAAATACATCAAAGCCTTCAAGAGGAACGCAAGCGGAAATTTTTACAAGTTATCACTACCTGACACTTGGTAATTTTTCTGTCATAAAGCAACAGATGTCTCCCTTCTACCTACCTCCCAGCCTTTCCCATAACCGATTTCTGCCCGAATGGAGCAATCTATGTGTTAACTCAGAGAAGGTCAAGAACAAATTCTGTATCCCATTCTATTTGCAAAAACCAATCAAGTTCAAACTGCCCCAACTTGCCCCAGGGTCTCTGAGAAAAGCACACAAGAGGAAGGTTGAAAATCTACCAACTACCCTCAAATTCCTTTAGCACCAACTGCAAAAAAAGTAGTGAAAAAGTTTAAGTCGTTTCTGAAAGGGAAAGGGGAAATGAAGAGAAGGAAACAGTTTCTAAGTGTGCAAGCTCTAGAATTCTAATTCTCCTTTCCATTAATGGTCTCATTTAATATGCCTGGCCTACAAAATATGCAGGCAGTGAATGGGGAGGGGGAGGGGGAAGCTTCCCCAAGTACAGCTCAAACTTCTTGAAATGCTTAGGTTCCTAGGCAAGAAGTATCCCATAACCAAACTACAGGTGTCCTAACATGTTAAACCTCTCCCTGTGTATACCAGCAGCTGGTGCAGGACACAAGAACCTTCCCAGTTGCAAGCACTGCAATAGAGCAGTGAATCCCACGAAGCAACTAACAAGACAGCCTTTTCCATGGTGTATCCAGTACCCCATTCATTTCAAGAATAGAGAAAATCCTGTCTTATACTGTAAGCTCAATGGCTCTGTTGTACTAAAAAACAAAGCCACAAAACTAGGGACAGGACTAAAATACAGAAATAATGTTCCCTATGTTCAGTGACTCCTGAGCTAATAGGTCTTAAAAAGGTACCACCCAAGAATGAACCCCAACAACCTTCAGTCTCAGAGGTGTACTTTGTACACTTTTGAATGCCTACTGCACTTCCTAGCATTTGCACTGCTTTTCTGATTTGTTTGGTATTCAGTTGTGCCTACACGTCTGCTTTACTAGTTCCTAAGTTCTTTGAGGGCAATTCTTATAAACTATTTCCCAAGGCCCTATACACATGAGACACTCAATACGATGAGACAGCTGAATGTGAGAATGAAGAAACGAAAGGCATGCTTTTATGCTAACCTGAATCAACGCAGTAATCCCGGGGCTCCTGCTTGATTCCCATTGGTGACTGGAACCCATGTGCTGGGGGGCCTGGCATGACTGGGACCCCGTGTTCATAGAGTGGGTCATGGTATTCTTGTTTGAATCCCTGAGGGGGTGGGGGAGCTGCAGGGACAACAGGTTCTGACATTTGCCGGTGGTAACTGGGGCGATTATCTCCAGGAACTCCTGGCTGAGGAGGGAAGGGGTGGCAGGGTTCAGACAGTTGTCTCTGAAATCTGCAAGAAGAAAGAGGTTTTCTTGTTTAACTGAGACATGATGAATACTTACTATGATTGAGCACTGGGGACTAGAAGTTCAGATTAATGAAATCATTTGCGAATGCTTATTTCTGGGCATTTTACCCTTCTCCCAAAATCACATTGCATATTTCAAAGCTCTTGAGTCAGGGAGTGACAAAAAAAAAAAAATAGTAATTGAAGTGATAACATGGTAGCCTCTTATTTTTCCATGTATATTTATTTCATGCACAGTCTATCTGTATAGATGGGTCAGATTATGTATCTGAATATTATAATATAGAAGAACAATTATTTGTAAATAGCACGAACACATACACGAATTTTTAAAGACTAAAAAGTACAAATTAACCAGTTAGAAAATATAGTAAAAAAAGAGAAAATCCCACTTATAGCAATAAAAAACATAAAATTCCTAGGAATAATTAGGAAATATATAGCTCATATAAATCTTAAAATTGTTTTCTGAGGAAAAGAAAGAAGGTCTAAGTAAAGAGAAAATATTTAAGACTTTGAAGCTGTTGATTTGCTGAAAATTACTGTATAAAAGCAAATGCCTTTCCAACCAACTTGACAAAATGATTCTAAACTTTACTAAAAATATTAAATAATTTTTGATAAAATTACAATAAGACAGTAATACAAGGAATAAAAGACTGGTAGATCAAAGGAATTAAATGGAAAGTCAAAACTGTCAAGTATATTCCAAAATGTACGACTTGTTAAGGTTAGCATTTCAAATTAGTGGGGAAAAAACTTAGATCCCGTTGTATACCACATGCCAAAATACATTTCATATGGATTAAAGATTTCAATGTAAAAAGTGAAACCGTAATATGAAAGTAAATATATATGAAACCTTACATAACTTTGGAGTGAGGGAAAACCTGTCTAAGTATCATATTAATATTAACAGCAGAAATCAAGATAAACATGAATATACCTCACTGTATGAATTTCTGCAAGTTAAAGAGACATCAGAAACAAAACCAAAAGAAAAAGATCAAACCAGGGAGAAAAAAATCTGTAATAATCAGAAAACACCAGAAGCAAAACCAAAAGTAAAACTCAGGAAAAATCTCTAACAGAGATAGCAATGTTAGTGTTACAGACATAGAGAGCTTTTAAAAATCAATAAAGATGAGTATTTCAAGGGAAAAATGGGTGAAGGGCATAAACAGGAAAATTACTAAAGAAGAAATACCAATGGTCATAAACAAAAAGTTTAACTTCATTAGTAAGAAAAAAAGTACAAAGTAAAAACAGAAATATTTTTTCCTGTTAACTTGGAAGATGAGCAGGCAGCTAATAATTCTGTGCCTGGCATTTAAATAGCGCTTGAATCAAAGATGATTAGATACAGCTACCAAGATGGTCACCAACACAAATGTCTAGCAAGGGAATGGGCTAAGTACGTTGTCATATAGCCATTTAGCTGAAAGCAATCATTAGAAATGATGTAATATACAAATATGTAAGGACCTGGAAAGGTATTTTTGACATTAAGGTAGGTTGCTGAACAGTACATAGAGCATCAAAGCTCAGCAAAAATAAAAAAATATTATGGTGTCTTATAAAATTGTGGAAAGATTTACACCTAAACGTTAACACTGCTTATCTTTGGGGTGGTTATAAATTTAGGTGACTTTCCTTTTTATAGCTCAATTATAGTTTAATAATAAATAGGCAGGCCGGGCGTGGTTGCTCACGCCTGTAATCCTAGCACTCTGGGAGGCCAATGCAGGAGGATGGCTCAAGGTCAGCCTGAGCCAAGAGTGAGATCCCGTCTCTACTAAAAATAGAAAGATATTAGCTGGACAACTAAAAAATATATAGAAAAAATTAGCTGGGCATGGTGGCGCATGCCTGTAGTCCCAGCTACTCGGGAGGCTGAGGCAGGAGGATTGCTTGAGCCCAGGAGTTTGAGGTTGCTGTGAGCTAGGCTGACGCCACGGCACTCTAGCCCAGGCAACAGAGCAAGATTTTGTCTCAAAAAAAAAATTAATAAATAAAAAAATAAATAGGCAGTCTTTATAATGAGACACAACAAAAACTTTTGTTATTGTTATTCATCAGCAAGTATCCGTAACAACCTGTAGCTGTCAGATAAATCCAGATGTGTGCCAAATGCCTTTTACCTGTTGGGTGGGCAGTCTAGCAGAAGGGAAAGCCTGCAATCCCTTACTAGGGAAGTGACTGAGGGCAAACTTTCTGGGCTTTGTTTCCTTATCTGTGACATGGGGATGTATTATCCCTCAAATGATTCTGAAATGGTGAAATACAATCATGTGTACAAAGCATGGTTTCTGCCACAGCCATAATCATTGACAGGTTGGGACAGACTTAAGAAGGGTGAGTGTGGAGGTTAGATATGACTGACCCTCAATCCATGAAATATGCATCAGGTGCTAATCTATATGCATAAAGAAAAGAATTTGTGAATATATAGCCTCAGGTAGAAAGTAGGAGCCAGTGTTCAAGGAAAAATAAAGGATTTAGAACAATTAATTTCAATGAAGTTTTTTTTAAAAAAATCAACAATACTGTAATACTAAGGTCTTAGTCTCTACTTTTAGCTTGAATTCTATTAATAGGTTTAATCAAATAATTCGAATTTGATCTGAATCTGTGGGAACAGTTGGCCAACAGATTTCTAGAACATCGAGATTTAAAATCTTAACCGAAGAGATTTAGGTACAGATAAAATACTGTTTAGATCACGGTATAGCATGGCATGATATGTTCTGGCTGAGTTTTTATTACCCACTGAAAGCAGAACCGTAAGATCATTTTATAATACGAAGATCATTGAACAATTTACACATACTCAGCCCTTTATCCCAGACACCAAAAGCCTCAGAATTTGCCTGGCCAACGTCTTAAACAAGTTTTACAAACTATATGAGGCTCAGTGAGGCAAGAGCCTTTCACTGGCTGCTGAGTGCACAATAGCAGAACCTCATCGGGTTGCTGTTATTTAAAGAAACCCTTTAATGGTCTTTGAAGAAGTGTAAATTTGCAACTCAGGTTTACACTTGACATTTAGAATACAGGCACCAGCAGCACACTGCAAACCTGGAGGGAATTTGTGCTGAAACTTTATGCTACTTGTAACAAGGAACAGTAATGAGGTCTTCCGTTTTCTGTCCTTCTTCCCTCTGCCACCATTCTAGCACCATCCAAGGTGACCTCTACAAATCAGTTTCTCTGATAGCTCCGAGATGGCATGTACCATTCAGTTCTGTAACCAGAGCCCTGCAGCTGGCAGGTCCGATCACCCCACTTCCGCTCAGCGCTCAACTTCTCACCTTCCAAAATGAAACTCTAGAGTTGGCCTGCTGTGGCCGCAGGAAAAGGTACTTCCATATGGGCACTAGCCAGCAACCGCACCCCCTCCCCGCAGCACAACTTCATCCTCAAGGATGAAGCTTGAAGGCCAGTGATCTGCAGAACAGATTCTACAATTGGGATGGTTCAGCACTGGTTTGTATTGAGAGAGTGGAGGTGGCAAAGGGAATCTCAGGGGGTTGTCACAAAACCAACATATTTGGAAGAAAGATTCTCTCAGAGAGCTCGCTGCTGCTAACGGCTTTTATTTGCAGAGATAAGTAAAGTAATTCAGTTCTTGTCCTCAAAATACATTCTGTGAACTTGACTCACTGACCTTCATTTGAACCCCCCTCCCTTCTCACATGGTCCTTTTGAAGTATCTAAGAATGTGTTGTATACATACTACAGCGATGACAAAGATGCCTCTTATTCGCCAAGGCAGGCAATCATTTTAAATGCAGGAGCAGCTTGGTTCCTAACAAACCTCTTCTTCCTCCCTTTAACCTTCTCCCTCCCTTCCTCCCACCCCCACCCATTAGCCCAACAGAGCTTGTGAGCAAGGAGCTCACATTTGGTGAGCAAGGAGGACTTCTGACTACCGAATAAGTCTAAATTCAATAGGTCACAGATTAAGGCTTTTCAGTGCCAGTTTATTTAAAGAACCAGTTATTTATTTATTTGTCAGATTTATATAGCGCCTTTCCTCCCAAGAGCTCACCCACGCTACCAACATTTGGTTTACGTTATGAAAACCGTTAGATGCTTTTTCTGCATTTCCTTTTCGGTTTCTGCTGCCAACACACAGAGTAAACACAATGCTTACAGGAAAAAAGGAGAAAAGTGCAGATATGACGAAGGCTACACTGTGGCTGTGGGTGCCAGGTGAAGCAGGGATGGTTCAGAGCTCAGTGGAGAGATGATATATAAAATCTGATAGAAACCAACACCACACACTTAATATTTCCGTTAAGGCTAAAAGGAAGAAGAGGGAAAACACAGAAGCAGCATAGCTGGGTAAGAAGCAACAGCATAGCTCTGGCTGTGAAGTCAGGACAGTGAGCTGAAATCCAGTCTTTATCACTTACTAGCTGTGTGACCTCAGGTGAGTTATGTGACTGCTCTGAGCCTCAGTTTCCTTACCAATAACATACGGGCAGCCCAGGATACCTGTGTAAAGATCATACGAGATAATGCATGTAGCAGGGCCCCAGCACACTGGTAAGTTCTCGATATACATTACCTTCAACTGTCCCGCCTTCTCCCTGCAACCGCAAGCTAAAATCAGAAGCTATGCAAATATAAGGAGAGACCTTAAGGAACTGGGAGAAGACTATCACACATACAAGCCACACACAAATCAAAAGAGTCCACTAGCTCCCTACTCAATATCTATTCTCCTTTTTCAGAAAGAGAATGCTGATTTTTATTACTGGTGGCAATGCGCCAACATCACATTAACATTTATTTTTCTGCCATATAACCGAGAGCCAGACACTGTCCCTAAAAGCACACCAAAGAACTCTGAAACAACTCACAGGACTCCATGAGGCCCACCAATGCTGTTTAGACTCAAATTGGCCCATCTATGTTATGATGAGGCATCGAGAGATAAGGAACCAAAAAAAAAAAAGTTCCTTTCTAGGCCAAGG